CTAACTTTGGTAGAAGTCGAGTGGACGAGCCTGGGAAAGGATTCTCTGGGCGAGTGACCCGACTGACCCAGACGTTGGACTGGCAGAACTTAACAGTTTAAGCCCTAGAGCTACGGGGAAACTCGTAACTCAAGAAACCTAAGTCGCTCAGACCATATTTCTAGTTATGACTTGACGATTTTATTTCTTTCTTATTCGTAAGCTCCTCCGTACAGTGCATTAAAACTTCAAACTGATATTCGAATCAAATTTAAAGAAATATAATTGACAAGTTCAAACAGTGACCATTTCATTTGTTTCTATGCAATACGTAGACGTGTACATGTTTTTTACATACTGCTGTGAGTTAAAGGATTTTCAAAAAGTATCGAGCAGAGACAATATATTTTTATAGTAAACATTACAATACTGTTAAAAAGGAGGATATGTTAGATTTCATTATTACTGAATGAAACGAAGCAGCACTGGTATGATATAAAGTGTTTAAAACTTAATAATGTTTATTACTGTTACGCGAGGATCATGTAACTAGCTTTAAATTAGCAAAGTTTCATATTAAAATTTAAATGTTTACTTGTTATTGAGAAGTGTTACGATTAAAATATAAACAAAAATAGATATTAATTCAATTAAGAACGTAGCTAATACAACTAAAAGGAATAATAACAGTGAAATATTCAAAAGCTTGATATAAGAAAAAAGTGATTTTTCAGTATATCTTTTTATGATAAACATTTGGAAAATATCTGCACGAGAGATATAAACACATATAATAATTCAAACACTGATTTAAGTATGATGTAAATATTTTAAACAATAATCAGTTAATCAATTAGTTACTACTTTCTTTTTGCTACAGCATTCATTTTATACCTCTTCTTTTAATAAACATTATCCATTCATAATGTGTATAACACAATAGGAAGCCTAAAGTACAAACGTCAAGCGTTACACTCTTCTTGTTTTCCATTACTTGTGGTTGAAATTTATCTAAGGGTTTGTTGGACTGTCGCAGCACGGTTATCTGGCTTCAGACGAAATAGGATTGCACTACTACTACAGTCTGGACTTTTATCCTATAACCGTGAATCTTTATGCCGTAAATCTCGGTTGGAGATAATCCCATGAACAGACGTCGAATACCCAGCCCAGAAAAACTCGAAGCTCGAAGAAACGAAGTAAGAGCAAAGCAGAGAGAAGGTGTCAACAAGAAATCGTTTATCTGAAGTCCAGTTAAAAATGAATATGCGGAAATCTACCATACTGTAGAAAAATATATTAACCAAATTTTAAAAAAATGAAATCTATGTGTTGCAAAAGAAAATGTTATTTTCTTAAAAATGTTTAGACACTTAGTTAAAGTAAGAATTCAAAAATTTGTAAGAAAATTTAAAATACTTTTAAAGTTGCCCCAAAACAATTTTACATCTAATGTTTGCATGCACCATTGGTATTTATTATATAATTATTCTAAAATTTTTACTTTAAGTTTGCAGAAATTATAATAGAATGGTCGGAAATATAAATATTCTTAAACTTTCAATTACATATGAAATTCGTGGATGGGAATATTCTCTTAGTTTCTTTTCAGAGAATGTTTTAATTTAATTTTTAATTTGTGATGTGAAAAATATTTTAATTCAAAAAAGATTGTTTATACCCTTGCAAAATAAAATTGTTGTTTGAAGCCTACGAATACATCTGAATATTCAATTATTTACTTATAGAAATAATTTTCTTTAACCATCTTTTTCCTTACGAAAAGGTAATGTGAAATTGTTATATCACAAAAATTAAAATTTAGGAGATCAAGAATTAATTTAAAATTTAGTGTTTATATTAATAATTATTTTATTATAAAACTGTTTTTATTCTTTTATAAGGATACGTATAGTATATACTATATATTAAAATTCTTAAAGAAAAGAGGTTAAAATAAAAAATATATTTATTTTAACAAATAAGGTATTTACAGTGCCATTAAATGGCATAAATATGGTAATGAAGGCAGTACATAAGAGAGTCCCACGGCATTCGAATAAAAATAGTGAACCTTCGACCCTCGTACGGAACAATGTCATGATATTCCGGTCCTTGAGACGAAGCTACTATCCCTTCCGACAATGCGAAACTCTGGTCAATGCTTCCTTCCTCCGATCCTATGCCAAGATGAAGGAGGATGTGATGTGAGACTATTGTGAACACAGTGTATCTCGAATGAAGCAGCGGACCACCAACTGGGTACGAAGGAATCATGAACCGGATGCTTTTAAAATTCGATATTATCACTTGCACACGGAGCCTTAACTTGAAAGCTGAATATATTCTGTAAAGGTTTATTAAATATATCGATAAAATGTATAGAAGTTGACGGCATTAGATACACATAACACTATAATAAAGAATAATAAAGATGCTGACTTCGACAATTAATATAAAATAATACAACTTAGTAAGACATTTTGATAAGATAATTTGATAAATTACACAATTTGAAGGAATGACATAGAAATATATATGTGAAATTATAATTTCAGTAAGAGCAATTTTTGTATTAATGTAATATAAACCTTCGTTTTTCGATATTTCAACATAAAATTATTTATCAGAAAGTTGAATATTAAATAAACAAAAAAAAATGTGTCTCATTTTCTGTTTCAATGAAATTATTTGTGCACTATAGGACGAATGTCGATTATACACTATAACCGGAATTTTAAGCGTCTATTCATAAAATATAAGTGCAAATCCTGCAGATTATTTAAACGAAGGAATTTAATAATTTATAATACTGCAATTCCTTAAATAAAATAATCTGACTACTACTGTGTTGACATTTTCAAATTTAAAAATTTTTAGTCAACTTATAAATAAGTAGATTACTGTAATAATCTTTGGTAATATTGTAATAATTATTGAACTTTCATTTCGTTACCAGAAAACAAATTTTTTTAATATCTACTACATTTTCCATTACATTGTCACCAATATTCAAACTGTTATACCATTTAACGTTAAATGACTTACTACGTACATTCAACTATGAAAAGCATGAAATCTTTAAACTAAAATTCTTCATAGAACAGTCGATTTATACGTGATTAAAATATACATTTAGAAATAAGTGGGCATACGAAAATATTTAGGTAAGAGAAAGTGGTTCTGTAAAACAGCATTAATACAAAGACGATAAGTATAATATTCAAATTCTGGACGATAATATTGACTCGAGCAGGATATCCGGTTAGCTGTATATTTCCTGCGAACGTATCTATATAGTACTGTATAGTGGATGGTTTCGTGTGGGAGGTGCAAGGTCTCGTGTTGGGTCCTCCTCTCTGGTTGCTGCACAGTCAAGGCCAGATTTGACCTTCTCTACGCTATATGCCAGCGAGGGGGACGAAGTGCTGGTTTCTTAAGGATCATCGAGCGTCGTGTATAGTACCGACATGGAAGTCCATTAAGGTCAGGACATTCTGTTCTAACCATAATCACAAATCATAGGTTTAATAGAACAATAAATTTATATTCATAACGCGTTCGGTTTTGCCGCCCCTGGCTTCGAATGCTTTTAAATTCCATCTGTCGGATTATTTAATTGGAGAATATACGTGAACAGAATTTATTTTAAAACTACAAACAATAACGTTTAACACAATATCAGCTCGTATCGCCATATACATGAAAACATAACACAATAGCAAACCAAATTTATACCGGACATCGTACTTGCATTGAATAAAGAAATTCATAAATCGAATTTTTCACAGCATTTACAAGCTGAACGTTTTTAACATTAAAACTAACAATGCTGACAAAACTAAAGCTCATCCAATGTCATCGAATATTAATAATGCTTATGAAACATACTTTTCCGTTACAAATATGTATGTTTTACCCTGTATACGTACTTCAAATATTTAATTCGTGATTATTAGATAGTCTATCATTTTTGAATGTTAATATTGCACTATCATTTAATGCTTAATCTTCTATTTTCCTTGTTTATTTATTAGCTATTTTTGTATGTATTTATTTAGCTATGTATTTACAAGATTTCAAGATTGTCACAAGATAATCAAACAAATGACAGCATCATTGCCTTTAGTACCATAGAATATTTGTCCGAAACATTTCTTCGTGTGTTCTGTATGTTTCAACATATCTTCTCAGGCAGATCAAAATTAAATAACCTGTATATAGTTATAATTGAGATCAAGGTGTTTCCAAAACAAATTACATGTACTTTTTTCATACACTGAAAGAAATAATAAACCACAAAATAATTAGAAACGATTTTAAATGGTAGATGAAGTCGTTTGATTATTTAGTAATACTACCTATTTTCATTCCTATTTCTTATTCGCGACTTAAAATAGATAAATGTAATCATATATTAATTCTAGATAAATTTTATTTAAATAATATACGTCGTAGTCGTAAAATATAACATAAAATGTTTTATGATACGTCATAAAGTATATCTTTTATACATATAAATATCCTAGGTTTTTACTCTTAGCAACAAAAATTTAAATCTCCCAAACTATAAAAATAGTATTCATAAAATTAAGTTACTTCATATGCCTATTGAAATTTATGGCACTGTCTTCAACTTCAGTTTAAATTAAATTCAATAAACATGTTTATGAAAGTATATATATCACAACAGAAATAAAATTAGTATTTTTCTACGTTACATAGCAATACGATTCTTGTAATTAGTTTTTCTAATGAATCAAAGTGAAGATTAAAATATGTAAAAAATAAAATTACGTTTAATCTATGAATGTGTCATATTTTTATGGTATTTTTATAGTATTTTTATGGTATAATTATGTATATTCATACTTTAGATTAGACGTTTATTAAAATAAAATTATTTAGCGTATTAATATAGTTAATACGTAATTGATTTTATATATATTTAATTCTCACAATATATATATAAATGTCGCTTGTGTCAGACTTACAATTGAAAGTATTTACTCATTTTCTAGATGGCCAGTATTGAGGTTTCCTTATCAACGACTCCAAGACGCAAAAAAGGTGGAAGTGTTTCTGGTGGAATCGCATCCCCAGCTGGACATCGAAACAGGGATCATTACAAAGAATTGGATGCTCTACGTATTGCATTACGTGACAAAGAAAATATTATCCAAACGTAAGAAATTCTATTATTTTTCTTTTCTGCTTTCCATAAGTACATAAAAATAATATCGTTATTTATAATAATTCATTGTTTATAATTCTTATAATTTATAATTATAAGAATACGCGTCATTTGAATAAATGTCATTTAACTACTGTCAATATGTTCCGAAATTTAATTTTGTGTCTTTAACACGTTAAATAAAATATCTTATATCTAATGTTCTAACTCCGATTCTGTAACAAATCTACAATCAGAATTCTGACGTTGGTATACATAACTTAAAATAAATTTTATTAAACGTGAAACTACTTTAAATAGAGCATATTTTTTCTTTAAAAAAAATATTGCAATATCCACTATGTAATTCTCGTGCACTTTCTTGTTCCAAAGAAAAATCGGTACACAAAATTGTTCTATCACCTTCAATAGCTGAGTTTAATTTAAAAAGAAATCAAACTTCTGACTTTAAAAATTATTTGTGTGTTCATTGAAAAGTAATCTTCCTCCAGTAAAATGATATATTAATTATTTCTATAACACTATGGATACAGTACATCATTCACAGTCCAATTTCTTTGGATATTTTGTATAGTTTTTCTTTGAAAGCTGTAACAAAGATATTATTTTTCATTGAGAATACAAAACAGTTTCATAAAAAACGAAATATCCTCAAAGTTTTTATATCAACGTTTAACAGTCACCATTGAGATGTTACATGTTCCATTAAAGTTACAGGAATGACTGTACATATTTATCTAAATTTAAAAGTTAGTTTTTATGGGGATATATTGAGAGAACCAAATTTTATATAAATTTATGAAATGCAAGACGATTGAAAACATAATCTTAACCTTTCAGCACGTATTTCATAAAATATATTACTTTGATTTCTGGGGATTCCTGTGGGTGTTCATTTCGCGTTGGGGATTGCTGGTGGCTTCTTACATTTTCCGGAAATGTATTTTCTCTATCGAAAATAAAATCTGTATTACTGCCTTCGTGGATTATTTCCAGGCGAAAACGGTATACTCAATTGCATAGTGTTATTAGATTTTACTTCAGAGCTTCAGTTGTTAACATAAACTGCAAAATATTTTAAATAATATTTAAATAAGTGTTCACAATGTTATATAAAGATATATTATTATACTTAACTTATAAATAATTTGTAAATTTGAAAATTTTATTTCTGTTAAAATTAAGTTATATACTAGTTTTTAGGAAGTGGGCAATATCGAAGAAAACTATTTTCAGTTTCGTATTGCGCGTAAACTACCATGCTCAATGTCATTCCATGAAAATCGCCAGAAGGAATATTTACAAAACATTATTAAATATTTGAGTTACTGTAAAAATTAAGTACGCATTAGTTCTCAATTGAGTATGCATTATTAGTGTTCGATTTTATTTTTATAAGTAATGTATTCAAATACGACTATTTATTTAAACTATGTGCTTAAATTGATTAATGCAGATATTTTCTCTTTCAGAAAATAGTGTGTTTTATATTGTTATACATAAAAGAAGTTTGTTAAATAAAATACACATTGCTTTAATAACAGTGTTCTGGTATGTGCTAAGCTACTTCAACGTTGTAAAATATCTATTGTGTGTGGGAATAAGTAGTGAATAGCTCAAAATCTTATCTGTACTAAATAAAATATCGGTGTAAAAATGCTTTTAAATCTATCTACAATACATATATAAATACACACACATTTTGTGTACATAAATACACAAAGTGCATAAATATATAGAAATAGGCTCATACAATACATTATATCTGTAAACACCAACTGGAAAAATCCTATTTAGGTTCTTCTAATATATTTTCCATATTATTAAACTATGTTTAATGATGTATTGAAAGATTTTTTACAAGAATAAATGTTTTAAATTTTGGTTAAATGTGATAACCAATAAATAGATCAAATAACTTAAAAAGGACGACGCTTGGATAGTATGATATTTGTTAAATAAACAAAGTGAGAATAGATCGTAATTTATTATTTACCGTTTACTTAGAAGTAAAAAACGACTGGTTTAGTATGGTCAGATTGGAAAGCAATATTTTTCCTTTCTTGAAACAATAATTTTGAATTTAAATTATGTAACCTTGAATTCTTTAAATTCAAACTGTGGAACAAGTCGAGTTGAAAAATCTCGCGATGTAGTGCAAATTTTAAATTACAAATTCCTATATAAGGTATGCACGTTTACATCTAGCATTTTTTTCATTCTTAGACTTACAATTTTCTTCGCTACAAACAAGCCAGTATAACGTACTCTGTTACACCACGGTTGAGAGATTGGCGAAACCTCCTGTGCACTGCGGATTTTCTTTGATAGAAGCACATATTTCGAGGGAGAACTTCATAAACATTTGCTGGTACTACAAAATTTGTAAAAAGCTACTGAAGAGAAAATAAGTAAACCAAAAAAAATAAAATTAGGATTTTGCTACAAAAAGGATGTTTAACTACATTCACAGATGACAAATAGGAATAAATTATTGACATCTTCAATAAGCATATTTTTTATAATTATAAAAGCGAAATATCAACGTTTTAATAATAATGTTAATTATTGAAATATAATCCCGTTTCTTTTTTACAAATTCGTAAGACAGGAATTTTTAGAAATATAAATCTTTGGTATGATAAACCATATTACATAGTGGTTATCTATAAATATAATACGTTCTCTAAACACAATTCATCGTTATTATGTAGCAAACAGAACAATAATCCATTCTCTCTTCTTGAACATCGATATGTTACAAATATTTAACAGTGATAAAAGTAAACTAATATTCTACTATTATAGAGTTGAAATGTTCATTGTAAAACTGATTAGTTACTGTCAGGTATCTAATAATTAGATTCATATTGTGTCAATACACTTATTAGTTATCGTAAAAGTTAATTACTTATATATACGTACCGCAAGAAACAAATGGGAAATACTTTTTTAAATGACCTATAACATTTACTTATGTTATTGAAAGACATTTAATTGTATTTTAGATTAAAAGGACAACTGTGTAACAGCCTAACCAATCGATTAGCACTGCGTAACGGTGCACCACCTTTGACTGAAGCAGACAGAAAAGCAACTGAGGAACGCCTTCAAAGGTTACGACGTGATGCAGACAATAAACGACTAGCAATTAAAAACTTAAAACTCGCACTTGAACGTCTCGATATTACTGAGTAAGTACAAAAAATTATGATTTCTATTAGATACGTACTGTAATTTCATCATGCAAAAACTAGACTATCAGTTTGAAAAAGAAAAAGCAAAATTATTCATACCAATGTAGGTACTTACTATTTTCCTTTTATTATGCTTACAAAAATTAATTTACGATTTTTCGACAGAGTATGATTTTGAAATTGAAAAATAATATTATTATAAATTTTTTTATTTCCAATAAGTAGACATTTTTAGTCTACGTGTCCATTATTTTTAACATTATTCATTACTTATTATTTACTTTATGTATGTAATTTATATTGTCTGAAAATGTTTTGAGTCGAATGATGTTAAAATTGTAAATACGTATGTATATACGATTATGGTGCATTGAGATAGATGCCATTAAAAATATATATATAAAAATATTAATTAATTAATATTATTAATATTAAAAACTGCAAGTAATAAATGTATCTCATCGATACAGTAAAATAGTGAACAATTATAAGCTTCTTTATTTTTCATACTTTTCGTAAGCAAAATTCATTCGCAAAAATATACAAAAAACACTGTTTGGATTGAATTATTTTAAGAATGAGAAGGGTACAATACGTGTACAGAACTTTATATAAATCGTTAATTTTCTTAATCTCTAATTAATTTAATGAAGTGAAGCGTTTCTGTTGCTATGAAGTTAGCAGAATAGTTCACTTTTTATGTATTACATTTATGTGTGCCGGAGTGCTAACATGATAATATGATATTTTCATTATCTGAACAGTTATTTGATTTGCAGTAGCTTTAACTCTTTGATATTCATTTTCTAGTTACAAATTTCTTCCAAACGAGAGTTCACTGTACTTTGCTTAAACGCTACTCAATATATACTTATAATTACGCATTAACTAACGTTCCAAACAAATTAATATTCTAATCGAAAGAAAAATTTTTAATTTTTGTCTTTAAAGAACATTGCAAAACAGAATTAATAGTTAATAAAATAACGTTAGTTTATATGGGATATTTTATTTTGAAATAGATTATTGAAAATTCGTGGCATATATACAATTGACGAATAAAGTAGATCTTACAGTGCATTATTTACTGTATTTAATAAAACATTACTTATTATTAGTTCGCAGAGTCTATGTTAATTAAATTATTCAAGTTCAATATTGTATTTACACATATACATACATTTAATGAAATAACTTTCCACACACTTAACTGAAAGTTAATAAATCTATTAGATATAGTACTGCAAAAGATTTATAAGCTTTTCTTTATAATAGGTTATAATTTATAAAATGGATAAAATGAACTTCTCAGAAAGTAAAAAGTCTTCGTACACTATATTTCATTTAATTTCATGATTGGTTATTATGTAAGAATATATATATAGGGGCACGATGAGAACACAAAAACAATAAAAAGAGTTTACATGAACATACATCCTATTTGATTTGGTTTCTATAATTTGCAATTGCTTAGATGTTTACACGAGAGATATGCATTTTTTCAATGAAACTTGTACCAGAATACAAAAAAATTAATAAACATTCATATATTAATCGATAGCAATACAAACATTTAAAATCTTGAAACCACAGCAGAAAATGTAAAGAAAGACAAAAACAAGAAATTGAAAAAATGGTTCCTAATATGGAACACCTAAGTAATTTGTAAATAAAACTTCCTTTTATTACGAGAAATGAATATTTATTGAATTAAAATGGATAAATAAATCAACCTTGCACTGTTTTGATTTTATATTATGTTAAGTATTTTCTTCCTTTTATTTTATACATGGGGTACGTTAATAACACATCGAAACCATCACATACTTCATAAACACAATGCATTGGACACATTTTTATTCATTTTTATCATTTTTGTGATTGCCATCATAAAATAAAAATATAATAGAAAGTAGCCAATATGGAATGTGTTTCATATTAAGTATCCACGTATTTCGATAGAAAAATAATAAGTATTCTAAAAAGAAAATAAATTTACACAGAATTGCCTTTGAAAACTGTTAAACAAACATGTTTAACGATAAATCTTGAAAGAATAATATTTTTTGGCTTATTTATATTAAGAAATTTAATTACTTGATTCGTCTCTCAAAAAGTTGTACATACTAAATACCAAACACAATAATGCTTCGCATTTACTAGCATATTTTTAATTGATGCCCAGCTAATGATATGACTATTTTCTATTATTAATAAAGTACTTTCCATGACGATTAATACATTAAGTTATTCATTTTTTGAAATATCGTTGTGTTTCATATTAAACGCCGTTACTGTATGTCAAATCTGTCGATAACCTTGGTTTATACGTGCACGAAATTCTTCAACTCGATAAAAGTAAGTAATTGTGAGTTATTGAAACACAAAAATGGCTATCACCTTTAAACGAGATCAAATAGGTCGTAGATTCATATGAACATTTCTCATTGGTTTTGTGTCCCCTATCCACTCCTGAAGTTGATCGCACATATTCTGTTACATCCTGTATATATTTCGTTGCCTTCCATTCTTCTCTTCTGACTGAATATTCTTCGACCATTTATAAAGAACCTACTCATATTACAGGTAATACACTGGTCCAGATCCAATTTCATTTCTACAGAGTATCACGAAAAAGAATGTTTACTGAAACGATATCAGACCAGTCTCGCACCAATAGTGTGAATAGTTTTTGCTTTCACTTCGATCAAACGCCCACTACTCGTGTATCTGACAGTCGAAAAATGCATAACAGTAAAATTTTATGTGCAGCGAAGAAACTTTCAATTTTAGTACAAGAAGATTTAATCTCTAACAAGTATTGATCCTTTTATAACATTAGGATGCGAAATACTGCTAGACACGTTAAAAAATGTTTACTGCATCTTGCTCAACGTTAGTTCCACATTAATTAAAAAATTTAAGAGTTCAAGGTAATGTTAACTATGTAATACTACCAAAAAAATTATACGCATATGCGTACAAAAAATAGAAATGACTTTGAAAAATCATTAAAACGTGGTATTTAAGAAAAAAGTGTCTATAAAACATTAACAATACTATAAAAAAAAAGAAGATAGTAAAGGGGTCTGTCTTATTTGAAACAACTGATATATTTTTGAAAAAGTATTACCTACACAGAATTGTAGAAAAATATGCATATTATACATATAGAATTTTGCACCTCTCATTTACTCCACAAATCAATTGTAAAGTACAGGATTATTCTTAACCGTACGGGAGTTCAGGATATGATGGTGTACTAAAAACTTGTCTCGTCCTTACACTACTCTTTATTAATTGTATATTATACAAAATATTACTAGAACTAGATTGAAACGAATCGTTATACAGCAAAGTGTTTATGTCGATGATCTACAGAAGAGTAGTACCATCTTGCTTTTTCCGGATTTATATTATTTTAGGGGCGGGGGTACATCGGAGGACAGGAAAGAGGAGGGGTCGTTACTGCATGGAAAAGCGATATTCTGTTAGAGCAGAGAAAGTAGGCTCTAAATTTACGACCCAGGATTTGTTCATCGTAGTTCTCGTTCTAGAAACAATTTAAGCTTCGTGAAAAGCATCCTCCGTCCAAATTATGTTACGCTTCAACAGACTAGTTCGACAAATAAAAAATGGGACGTTGAAAATTATAAAACCAAGGAATAATTTTCAAGTTATTAGTCATAGAATATCAAATCAGTTACTTGTATTTAATGTAATTACATCTATCTACAACAGTAATAAATATAGGTATTATTGTTTCATTAACTCTTTAAATTATATTTAGTTGTAAGTAAAGGTTCCGAAATATGTTATAATATTGTAAGAAATATATGTATTAAGAAAGTTTTTAATCTTTAAAAACATTTTCAGTTGAATATTTGGAAATCTTTTTGATGTGAACTGTACAATGCATAAAATAGATATTTTATGAACCAAATGTTATTGCGATGTATTTTTAAATGTTAAAAACAATCGTGTATATAAGAATCTGACAGTCCGATTTATGAAATTAATCTTTATAACTGATAAAAAATATAGTGCTATAAAATAACAACATAATAAAACGTGGATATTAAAAAGTTAAATAGACCATTTATGTTCTATGCCAGTATAACGGCTTTATTAAACATTTGTGGAATAATATAATTCTTTTTTCTTAACGAAAACATCTACTTATTTATCTAGCCTCATATTTTCAGACGTTAGTGTATATACAGCAACATTATTTGTAAACGTATTTATATAAACTTATTCAACTACAGCTTATTCGAGAAATTAAATTTACCCTCAAAATACTTTGAACATCTGAAAATGTATAAGCAGTTTGATAGAATTACGCAGGGTAATATGAATTATGAATTATTTAATAAACCAAATATATAAATACACAGGTCAAATTAACAGAACAGAATAACATACGACATATAACCATAAATTAATGTAATACAAAACGCCCGCAAATAATGCACACGCCAAATTCACTCGCAACACATAACCTCGATTATATTATTCTGTTAACTGTGGACCTCCAAATTTTCAAGTAGAGTTTCAAAATTTCTCGTTTTACACACAATAAAATAAAAAAATGAAGTGTGTACTCCTCAAACGCAAAACGCATGCACTTAGGTTATACTTGAATGAAAAACCAAAGCAAAACAAAGAAAAACTACATGTTTATCTAAAAGAATAATGAAATAATTCATCGTTGAAAGAATTACGATTATTTCAAACTTTAATATGACGTGAGTATTCGCCAAACTCAGTTAACTGGTTAACTGTCATTAATCCAATAAAGTTGAAATTTTAAACAATTTTACGTATGTTGTACAGTTAAATTACAGTTTTGTTTTAAATTTAACAATGATGAAACTATTAAAGGAAAAGCAGTATATTAACATTCTTAAATTGAAACAGATTTATATTATTGAGTCATTTGGCATATCTATTATAGGGTTTATATTTATACACTGAGTTACGTTTAAAATTCAAATTAATTAAAATAATATATAAATATAATTTATTGTAAGCTATATAAGACTGTCATTATAATTATAACAAATAGAATACTATTATAATAATTGTTCTCAGTATATGAAACATTAATAAATTTTTTAAAAATTGAAAAAGACTTAATTACAAACTACACAGATACTGATAATTATCAGAAATAGGAAGTATAAAACATTCTGTAATATCATCCCATATGGTCTAGTGGCTAGGATACCTGGCTTTCACCCAGGAGGCTCGGGTTCGATTCCCGGTATGGGAAATATTTTTTTTCTTTGGGAAACATTAATTTTTACATTTGTTTTACATGCCAATATAAATTGTCATATTTTTAAAATTTATTAAGTTTAATACAATTTTTTAAAATTTTATATTTTGTTCCAGCAATATCGATGTTCGAATTCAACAAGCTGAGTTAGAGTATAGACTTGGCCGGGAAGAACTCGAACTTTTAACCCTCCGTGAAGAAAGTCGAGCTCTTCAAGCAGCTTTAGAGTTGGCAGAGTCTCAAGAGAAACAAAAGAATGACACGATATTCAGGTACCACTTTGAAAATAATAACATCTATGAAAGGACACATTTTCCTGTGTCTATGTATACATATATGCCAAAGACTGATAAACATGAATAAATATTTCTTTAAATGCCATAATGCTAATAAATTTTGAAGAAATTAATTTTGCACTAGTGCATGTAACTAATTTTGGGAGGGAATAATTTGTTATAGACACTTCATACGAAACACGTTTCTTATGAAAATACTTGTCTATGTTCCCTCAAATTAATGTACAAATCATTTCTTTCTTGCATTTTTACATTCTTGTTACTGGTTTTAAAGATATGTATAAACGAACCTAATTTTAAGTAGAAATGGTAATTTCGAAAAGTCAATATAAGTCGATTTCTCGTAAATAATGAGTATATTTAAAAAGTGAAAGAAAAAAGTTCTATTTACCGTTATTTATGAACAATAAAATAATTCGTAATAACTTTTTCAATTTGTAAAATTTTTTGAACAATGAAACTGATTCTTATGTTCTTGAATGGCAAGCTAATTTTTTATCGTACATGCAAGAAAAACATAAACCAATACTTATAAATAAATTCTTTTTTAGTAATAGAAAATTATGTAAAACTTTAATGACTCGCAACTGCATTTAAATTCGTATATATTATCTGTACCATTAAAACGTAAAATACAAATATAGTCCTCTGTTATTAACACAATCATAGTTTCGAATCTAAACACAAGTAAATGAACAGAAAAAAATTACTTAGAATAATAAAATAATTGTTCGTTCAAGATTGGAGAATGAAATTTCACTAGTTTCAAAATGATTTCCAAAATGGTTTAATGGTACCTATAATATCTACTTATTATTTTAACTAGATTTATCTTATTACTTTCTTATTTGAAATTCTTATGAACTTTATATATTTCATGAACTGTGAAAGTGTTAATAGAGATATAATTATTGGCATATTTTTTACGAATGCTTAGAAAGTGTTTAAAAAACTGTTACAATTAATGTAATTTCATTTAATCAAAGAAAATTACTCGTAACACTGTTTAATCGTTTTACTTTCTTCTATCCAGTTGTATTTCTGGATCTACGCAAGTCACGATTCATGCGGTCGAGATCAGCGCCGATCCAAAAAGTCCTCGATTTGGTGCAGGACCAAGGGAAGACACACCTGGTCTTTACGTCGATTGGGCAATAGAAGATTCTGGATTGTGCAAAGGAGATAGGTTCGAATATATTCCTTATACTGTCTAAAATCTCGCGTTACAATGCAGTTTACATTTTTTTAAAAATTGAACTAAATTGAACTAAATACTGCACATTTACAGATAAATGTATTCAAAGCTATCTGTATAGAAACAAAAATTTTGTTTAGGTGGTAATTTAAAAAAAATGTTACACACAAGATATAAAAAACAAAACGTGTTTAAATATTGTTAAAAGTTCTTAAACAAAACTAACATATGGGTGTACACAATATACATTTCATATACCTGTTTTTAAAGCATAATTTAATTTAATTTTCAATATGTATTGAAATTACATGACGTGCAATAATGTTTACTACGAAAGTGATTCAATTAAAAGCATTTATATCGTTTAGTAATATTTAAACAAGTAATTAGTCAATTCTCATCAATACACATGCTGGTTGATGCAATTTCAATATCCAAGGTATAATAACTGAAGAAATAACAGTCTTGAGTAATTTTTTTTTCCGGCTCGATACTGAAGCTCTATACACATATATTATTGTTCATTGTGATTCGAACGATTTGAAAAATTTATAAGACAAAAAAAAATAATATTTACGTAAGGAAATCACTGTACCTTGGGAAATTACAGTGTTATAGTATCACCTCATGACTGAAATTTAAAATATATATAAATTTAGCTCTAGCGTAATAAAGACAGTATCCATTGTTTTAGTAAAGGATCAATTTTGCTTTACTAATGGACATTTAACAACAGAATAGCATCACTGTTAAAAATACAATGAAAAATATTCGTCTAAATAGTTTTGATAGTATGTTTAACTCTTCGAAAGGGTTAACTGTTCACAATTAAGAAATAAATACCAATACAATTTTTACTTGACATACGACATCGAAAAAGCAAATTAAAAATAAACAGTTAGTACAAATTAAACGATAGAAGTTCATCCTGAAGATTAAAATTAGGAGAAGAATAATCGAAAAGAAACATATATTAAATAAAATGCGAGACAGTTTGCTACACGTACAATAATGTAATTACTTGATTAATAAAAATCATTACACAATCATGATGCAAATATACAATGTTTGCAAATCGCATCATTCTTAATAATCTAATCAACAGAATTTCTAACGTTATGAAATAAATTGTAAATAATTGTTTGCTCTGAATCTGTGAAAATTTCTATTTTTATTGCACTCTATTGGATTCTTGCTTCAGAAAACCGTATAAAAATATATAACTGCATAAACACCTGCAATCTAGACATAATTTTAGTACTTACATAGTTGCATTGGTCGGCTCGTAACGAGTCAAAGTATTGTCTAAGGGAAGCTAAAAATAGACGAATTAAACTAAGAAAACAAGATTGTAATTACATGTTAACGCGGAAGAAAGTACAGGCGCAGAAAATAAAAAACGAAAAAGAAAGGAATTATTAAGCAAGAGCAAAATAAACATCAACTGTATAGCGTTGTGTGGTTACACTCCGTAACTAAACTATCGGTGAAGAACAATACAGCAATCTTGGCATTTGGTTCTCAACAGGTCATCGTAGCGTGAAGGAGCACCGGAAGTTCGCCGTATGCCCCCACTAATTGCATCTGCGACTTCACATGACCCTATCTTCTATCCTCCTACCACTTCCACGTACATCCTCGACAGAAATTCGTTACAATTCAACACACCTGCGTTCCGAGTCAGTTTTACCGTACGAAATTGAAAACTAACATAGCGAAGCTTTTACTGTACTCCACTTAAAAACTTTTCTCAAGTTTGTTATTTCCCGTATTATTTCCTGTAAATCAGTTTATGACAATAATATTGAAAAGTAGTATTTATTATATTAAAGAAATTAATTATTTTTATACAACCACACATGTTACAGTGATGTCCCCTTCAATTTCACTAAAATCCGTACGGTTCACTTTCCCAGACTTATCTCTACTCTTCTCCTACCAGTCAATCCCTCGAGCTCGGCGTAGTCATCTTAGTTGGCAAGGATAGAGAATGAATACAATGAAAAGAAAGGAAACAGACACACATCAGTAGAATACCGCGACTGTGAAAAGTAATTATTCAATGAAGAAAATTTCATTTTCCGTAATTTTAGTCCTATTTTTATAATTGTAGGACCAATGGATAACTGAGACTTTTCCAATTAAAACGAGCAAATCAGACTAATTTTATTGATATAATACAAATAACAGAGTTAAATATCTGAATGTTTCAAATCAATAAAACTAATCCAATTTGCGTCTTGTTTGAACTCATTGTAATCGGGAGAATCTTAGCAATCTATTGATGTTACATTTATGAGGGTAAGGTGAAAATTTCTGAAAATAAAATTTTAGCTCTTGTATGTTTATTTTTTCTCAGTTGCGATATAGCTTTTGAAGTATCAAGTCTCGACCGTCGCTGCTCGACGTACTGTGTCCATCGCGGATGCGCTCGTTATATCTAGTCTCTCACTTCGTCGGGTCGTGGTCGGGTCAGTTCTTAGAAGATAAACTGTACCCTGCCCGCGAGAATTTCATTACTGGCTCCTGAGTTTTATGAAATTTAAGCGAGCATCACTGTACTTTGTACAGTAGAAAGTGGTTTGTGATGTTTTAAGATTAACTGAGGTATTCTATATGTAAACGAATACAACTATTTAATAGTTATCGTATATTACTTTAAATTAAATTATAGTTGCTACAGAATGCACATTATCTAATACGTCAAAATATGTTCTCGAATAATTGTGCGCTTATATTGAGGAATCACTGAGGAATCAGAGCAGATCTATTAAGTGTCATCTTTGGAAAACGTTTTAATTTACTTAAAAAGCAATTGAAAATAACACGGAAAATATGTCCTTTATTTATGTAGTATATTCATATAAGAAGTCGTAGTTTTTCAATAATTCAGTTCATTTGTTAAAAAACAAAAGCAATCTTCTATATTAATTACTTCACACCTTCTCAATCGTAAAATATTGAATAGTTTTCTAAGGAAATGTCTATTAGCGAATTTATTTATTGTAAATACATGTATGATTCCATTGTTTCTGATTATATACGAATAGAATGTATATAAACATAGTTTAATTAATAGTATTTCTGCTTCTATATTAATCGAAATCTTAAACATGGTATGTTTGCATATATTTATTTGAGAAATGTAAACATTTATCTTCGTACCTATCTCATCAGTTCACAGGAGAATAGGACCTGTTCTTTTTTTCTTAATTTCACACACTTGTGTTTATTAAAAAAACTGTGCTTATGGTGTACATATACATGTATATCAGTCAACATCTTTTTCAGGATCTTAGAGGTAAATGGGAAGCTGGTGGTGGGAGCAGGAAGGAGCGACTTGGCAAGACTTCTGGCTGTCGCACCCGATGCGGCACAAATCGTGGTCCTTCGAAAAGGTGAATCCCTCGCAGCACTCCGCACACTTCGATCAGATAACCTCAGGCTGACTCACAGAATCGGATATCTCGAAGAACAGGTTAGGGATCTTCTGGCACCAAGTAGAGCCGAGATTCCCGCAGATCCTCCACCGAGTCGCCAAGACCAAGTTCAGGTGCTGGCCAAAATATATAAATATTCACATACGTATAATAGAATGTTGCCTTTTGAACAAAAATAACTGTAGGAAATAAGAGCAGAAATTTCTAAGTTATAAAAATAGAATAAGAAGTAGAACTAGTACCACTTCGTTAATTTCATAAATATTAGTTCTTTATGGTTTTATAGGTATTTACATAGTACTACGCCATTCATGTCATTTTAATGCTTTGCACTTGAAAGCTTCCAAAGTTACTTCGAGCTTTTTAATTAAAAATCAAACTTTTATTACCGTATAAATTTATTATTGTAAATAATGCTTAAATAATATTATCATATAGTCATGCAGAAAGGCGTCAGTATTAGTATAGTAGAAAGTCGGATATTTTCGTCGATTCTACTTGTTTATGTATAGACATGTAGTAGAAGTAACATAAAATTCATCGTGTTTATAGTTGACGTTTATCACTGAGCAAAGCTTCGAATAGTAGAAATCGAAGCAAAAATTTAATTAACCATAAAATCAGAATGAGTTCGCAAGAGATTCTATACTGTATTACGTAACTGTTACCATGTATGAACGGTAGTTTTCTTCTAACTTTGAACAAGATTTCATTTATTTTTCTTGAACGTAAATATTGTCTACTATGGATACCGAAGCTTAGGCAACTTCCGGAGTTCTAACATTATTAATTCCCCTATTGTACTCCCATTAGTATTTTACTTTCAGAAGCATTGTATACACTGGTCCTAAGGATAATGCGAATAAATTGAGAATTTCAATTAATTTGAATAAAAGTGTAATGCTAATTTTAGATAATTGACATGTTTAACATAATAAAGGGTATATTTAACCCATGTCATACGTGAGTACATGTCCGAGTAATGAGCAATAATTTCACACCGTGCAATATGAACAGAGAAATGATTAGAAAATATTAAAACATTGAAGTGAAATATTATAGAAAAATATAAAAAGCTTCATTTTGCAAATAAAATGAGGGAATTTATAACGAAGAAAATAAATTAATTATAGGAAATCCAAATATATTGTGAGGCGAATTGATACTTATACAATTCTACAAGTACACGAAACAACACAATTTAGTACAATCAAATGAAATATTAAATTTAACTGCTAAATGTTACATGTTCTTGCAAGTTTCGTCGATATTTGATATGCTTTACGAATAATTCCAAGGGAGAGTAATCCTAAAGTCAATTTGAGCCAAACTGAAAGAGTAAGAAACATTAACTCATTAATTTGTTCTTCGATAGAAAACCTGAATGTACATGAATTATATGAGAATATACATGTACATTGTATATGTGTGTATGTCTGCTGATGTTACCTCAGTTGCTTTCCTTATGGGATATATGTACAGAAAACCTCGAATAATTTCAATGTTTGGGTTCCAATTTGTGATACAGTTATCTATTGTCCACTATACGTACAGTAAGTCACAAAAGTACCAGTACCTCCTGAACTGCCGAACTTAAACGATTGATATTTGTCTACAAGGCAAGTTTCAAAGTTCTTATCAACGGAAATATATGTTAACATTATGAAACTCTCAAACTTCATAAACTTTATTGCAATACAACATGTTAATATAACAAAAATATAATTTTGCGTAAACAGAAACAAAATTGGTCTCACAAGCCTGATCAGTTAGATCGTCTCAAAAGTATTATAAAATGCACACGAGGTTCAACCAGATATTAGTTATTAATACATTAATTATTAATTATATTTTTAGTATATGCGTGAAATGCTGTTTAAACATCTTACAGTATGTAACAAAGCCAAATTTTTTGAAATAATTATATTATCCAAATTTTATAGATATTTTTGAAAACTCAATACTTGCGTTAGAAGTTGATCATCTTCTAAAACGAGAAAACTAGTAATAGGCCATATATTAGTTAGCAGTTGACCACTTATAGTAAAACCAAAAACATTAAAAGTGATTACTTTAATATCGTTTGTTTGAAACGATTATGACAAATTACACGTAAAAGAACAAGTACAAATGAAAAGAAGTTAATTCCATGTTAGAAACTGCAGGCATACAACCAACGTCAATGAAATAAATTGTTAGTTTTTACGATAAACAATTCAATTCAGGTAAAAGTGTTTCGGAGTTAGGTTGGTAGATGTTATAGCATATTCATCGCTCCTTTATCGAAAGATTATTACTTTTAAGCACCTTATTTTTTACGTTTTCCTGAAATATGATTAATTACTGATTCCAGGACAATTACTGGTATCTTTACCTTATTCCTTTCTCTTTTAATACTTCGAATTTTTTCCATCAAACTTCTACAGTCAGGCTAGCGGTCGATAATTCACGCGTGAAAACGCTCGCGATATCTCATAGGCCGGATGTTTAAGATACAGTTGGAGATCGGTTCATATGAAACGCTGATAAGCTGTTGCATACATTAATAATTTGTTTTGCGGAATGTTCAGAAGAACTGACTGTTGAATGATGATTTTTCGCACAAAATAAAATAACATATGAGATGTGATAAAGAAGTTCCCAAAATTGTCATCTATTTCAAAAAGTATTTGCTTATTCATCAACTACTGTATTATGCCTTTCAAAGTAGTCTCCATTAACATGTTGAATGCCATGGCAGTTACCGGTGAGCCCCGATCAAATTCAATTCCTGTAATTTCCTTAATTATATGATGATTATTTGGAAACATTTCTATATTGTAAATAACGCTACCTATTGCAGTGACATTTAGCAAGACAAACCTGCTATAATAAGAATGCAATTCTATGAAATAATTTAATATTGTATTTTTTTCATTTTGCATATTTTACACCTTAAAATCGTGCGGCGTTCAACGTGTTAAATATAATACACTTTTGCGAGCGTCGTTTCTAGTGCCCGAACAATTGGTGAAATGCTCTTCAACTCAATCAGCAATTTTGCCATTATTTCTTCTGTTGTTTGAAATCTGTACCATTCTATTGCTTTCTTCATCTCTGGAAAGGGAAGGTTGCACGAAGTTATATCTAACGATTACGGTGGTTGAGATAACACTGTCGTGTTATTTTTAAATTAAAATTCTTCGACAAGTAACGATGCATTAGCCGGTGGGTTGTCGTGGACCAACTGTCACGAGTCGTTTTTCCAAAGCTCAGGTCGTTTTCCCAGATTGCTTTATGTAATCTGTCTAATAGTAGTTTTATAATAAATTCTATAATAATTCTATAATAATAAATATAATAATAAATAATTATATAATAATTATATAATAATTCCGGGTACTTTTTAGTTACACCTTGTACATTATAATTTAACTCTTTGCGCTCGTATGTCATGCTAGAGATGACAATACAAATTTGTTATAGAACGTTGGAAATTATTTTAAAAAGTGCTATACTTTAAAAGATTAGAAAAATTAAATCTTATTAGAATAATAATAAATAAAATAAATATAAAGCAAAGAGTTAAGAACACATAATCTATTGTCAGAACATACGCACTGAATGTGTATAAGTGCTGCACCGCATTGATTTCAAGAACGGAATGCATTATGCTAACAACTAACCCGTGTCGCCGAAGAGGAAGTTATCGTTAAAATATCAGTAACTACACTGTGTCTTATCAAGGAGTTCTCAGAATGCTCTGAGCACAATCGGTTTTCATTGCAAGTGATATAATGAAGAAAGAATGTTAGTATTGTTCAGACCGTTACAGTACTTTAATTACTTCAGGCGAACCATTTAATTTTCATTGTTAAATTTCATTTTCGTTATCTTTGACGTTCCGCGCAAGATAGTTATTGATAGATTATTCAAAAATTAAACAAAGAATACACAATTTTATACATGCCTAATGTCACTAATATAACGATTAACTGATTTACCAATAGGTATGTAAGTTTATTTAAAACAGCTATTCCAATTACTGTTTTAAACTTTCAAATAATGTAATTCTTAGGATATAAAATAATGATTAAATTTAGAATAAATGGTATTTACTTTAAATTAGCATTTTCCTTTAAAACTAACTTTTTATTTACTATACAGGTTTTTCAGAAAGGACCACAGGTGACTGCATTAGTAGCGAACCTTCCTGATCTCAATATAAGAAATTCAATGGAGTTGCGACAAAGTTTACCCACAATAAGACACAAGCACAGTGATCAAACAAAGCGTCTAATAGACTCAAAGGGCTTAAAGGAAATTGATCTGTCATCAGATAATGCTTCAAATAGCCATAATAAATCAAGGACTAGACAGAAACAGCAAGGGTTTCATATGACTGGATCAACGACAAGCCTGGATTGCAAACAAACGCAAATACATCCTCAACTACAACGCAGAAGACCACCACGTATCGAAACAGCTATAGAGCATTTGTCTAAAAATCGCAGAAACTCGTCGCAAATGCAATCATTGGATTTCGATTCTGAACCAACCTATTACCGGTTTCAGGTAGATTATCACTTTTTTACTGACTTCTAATATAATTACCAATAATCTTTTATCATGTTACTAACATTTTATAATATGTACATTTAATAAGGTCTAGTGAAAAAATGAAAATATTTTTAATTCAAATAACTGAAAAAATGACTGAAAGAAAAACTGATTAAACTGAAAATAATGCCATGACTACAATACGAAAAATGAAAATGTTTTTAATGATGTCTAGTATTCTCATACATTTAAGTCAACTAAAATCGAAATTAGTAAATAGTAGTACCAATTGGAACAGATTTAAAGAAAAGAATGGTAATTTCAATTTTAATTTTAATTTTTGGTGGCCGTCTCACAGACACACTTATTACGTAAAATTCAATTTAATAATAATGAAAGCTTTTGGCAATTATTTCGAAAACTAGAGCAAACCGCCACCAATATATAGGGAAAAAGTTCTTCGAAATCATATCCCCTCCTACATTTTTCAAGTTTATGAAAATCGGGGAGGATGTAACATATCAGAAGTTTGACCTAATTTTACATTTCAGTTCGTGGTGATATTGAAAAAAAATTCAGAATATTATCCTGAAAGAAAATGTTTAGCTAAGAGTAACCATGTGTATCGGTTACGATATATTTAGCGGTAAACAGCATTTACTTCATTTGCATAACAATAGGTATGGTAAACTACGACCTCTACAGAATATCGTTAACTACCGGTACAACTAGTTCTCCGTATCTGTTCCTTAACACATTGAATGCCATGGGTGTTACCGGTGACCCCCAAGCAAATTATTATAGTTCACTCAATTAAAGATTATTATTTATATTATATATAAAAATAATTATTTGAGAACATTTTTATATTATGAATAATGCGGTGACGTCCAGCTAGATGAATGTGCACTAATAATAATAACACAATTCAAACAAATGATTTAATATTATATTTTTTCCACTTTCTGTATTTGGTTCTATGAACTCGTGCAACATTCAACGTGTTAAATAGATTGAAAAATCTTAGCAATAAGTTTACGGAATTTTTCGACATAAATCTATAGATCCCACAATGGATACATTCTAAGACTCTTAGTATTAGAATCCCAAAAGAATACAATATATGCTTCTCTTTCAGACGTGACTTTTCGTTACACCCTTCTTATTTTATTTCTAATGTCTCACATTTAACATATATTTAAAAAATCGAACAGTATCAAATTAGCAATTAACATATATAGATTTCAATCAATCAGTTTTTGAAGGGAGTTTGAATTTTTAGTAGTTAGACATTTTTTCGTGAATGATAAGGTAAACAGAAAAGTGAAAAAAGAAAATATTTCTTATTCAGAAATAACACAGTAAATTGAGTTAAGCTCATTCCATAAAAAATTCATTATTTTTGTACTTGACATTTGGATTTGCATTCAAATTACAACATATTCCAATGACTTTGATGTTGTCCTAAGTAATGCTGACATTGACACATGTTATGTTTTGCTGTGAATGTTCGAAGGCACGAACTAAAGTACAAATAAAACGGTCACACCTTTTCTCCATTTCCCTGCAAGTTTAACCTTGAATGACCTTGAGTCATAGGTAGTTGAATTTGTCTTAAAACGCACTATTTGATGGTGGATAAAAAAACGTGTCATTCCATTTAAAAAAAGAAAGTTGACCTTCACCTCACCTTGGAGTGTCCACTAGAAAAAATAAAAGTTCCACCACGCGATTTCCCACTCGGTATTGAACAACTTTCGTCTGAAACATTTTTGCGTATAATCAATATTTTCGGAGATATTCGACTGTAACGCTTTATAATTTCCACCCTGTATAGTTTTCTTTACTATTAATAAACATAGTTATTTGTTAGTTTTTTGTATTCCCGTCTGTGTTATTCCATATTCACATATTTTTTACTATAATATCTTAAATTTTTGCTAAACTTCAGGATACACAATCGCGCGCGTCCGAGAATTCTGACGCTTCGATGGTGTACAGTTCGCAAGACACGAAATCACGTCCAGCACCACCGAAGAAGCCGCTTCGATTATCTCTTCATCGTGCAGCGAGTCTTCAATCTGTGGAAAGCGCACCGCCTACTGCTCATCACGATGTAACCAAAAAGGCAACAAAAAGAAATCACAAAGGCGAATCGCCATCTGAGAAAAATCAACGAGGAAATCTAAATGAAGAAACACCCAATCAAACTCATGAATCACAGTATAATCCGCCTCAACCACCGTCAAGAACTCCTTCCAGAGCAGAATCCTGTCAAAGTGCACTAAGATGGCCGTCCCCTAAACCAAGACCACATTTGGCACCAGTCACAATGGAAAAATGGTGCTAATTGAAGAAACTGTTACCGCGAGAACAATATAATACAATTTAATTATTCTCAATTGAACGTACGCATTTTCTTATATGTGTTATAAATAATGTTAACTGCCAATAATTGAAGATCTCTGCTGTTGGAGAAGACTTTTTTCGTAACGCACAAAGCTTGTAGGTAATAAGTATGTAAATACGATTTAATATTTTCATATTTGATACATTTAAAAAAGACTGAGTCGTTCGGAACTAAATTTTCTTGTAAACCTTTTTACAAAGTGGTCATAGATAACCAAAAAACTGAAATACAGAGTGAACGCTTGTAAATGTGTCATTCTTTAAAACCGTGAACTGATTTTACATATCAAAGTAACATGAAAATTTAGTGAAATTGCTGAGACGTTATTTTTTCTCCAATTTCACAATTTTAAATGGTAATGATATCTTAGTTTTTGATTCTAAGTACAAAATGAGTGGGGGTAATTTTTCAAAAACGGGTGCAAAACGAAGAGCGGAGCCTGCGCTTTTACTTTATAATTTCCAAAAATAATGAATTCTTAAAATATAGGAAGAAACATCCCTTGGATTTTAAACGATCAAAATAACGACAATGGGTTTTATGCGGGACATCCTATAAATAGTAAAGCCGAAATCGCTGTTTACTTATCGGCTTACCGACGACGTTTATTAAAACAAGGTCCGAGTCATGTCTGCATAGACAGAATTCAATGTATTGTACCGAAAGTTTTTTGCAAATATCTCGGAAACGAAGCCGAACCGTATAAGTTAGTAAGCCGGTTATATGTAGAGGAAACAGTTGTCCGAAAAGTTGATTTTTACAATGTGCTCAAACGTCGTCGAAAACTGAGAGAAAGTAAGGTTTCAATAATTTTACTGAAAATTAAAAGTATAACAATTTGTGGAGAAGGTTTTGTTTTTAAATGGTTAATAATTAAAAATGTATTAGTAACAACAAGAGACAAATCAGTGGAAATACAACTCAAACAATTATTTCGAAAGTAATTTGATTGAATTTTATTTGCTTCGCATTATGCCAGACTCTAACTTAATTTTTCATATAGTATTCGATTTCATTCGGTTTATACGTAGAAAAAAGAAAAATTTATGTATTGAGAAAAACATTCATTCGTTTTACTAAAAAATTCAATATTACTGTTATACACCAATTTGGGTATAAGTTAAAAAAAAATGTTATATTGAACTATCGCAACTTCAAGTTAATCATCTGTCTTTTGCATAATATGCCATTGTTTACAATCCTACTGCCGTAATACGTCGTTATTTGCGAACCGCTATAATCTAGAGGCATTTTTTAATTCTTAATAACTTGAAAATTGAATCCAAAATGCAATTTTATCACGTTTGAGCTTTAACATTTAGAACCGCCTCGTGTACAGTTGACAAAAAAAGACACTTGAAAGGAATATGAATATAACACGTTGAATGTCGCATAATGGAAAAAAATATAATATTCAATCATTTGATTGAATTTCATTATTATTGCACGTTATTATAACATTATTTATAATATATAAATGTTTTCAAATAATCATCGTTTAATTGAATGAACTATAATAATTCGATTTGGTTGGGAGTCACCGATAACCCCTATGACATTCAACGTGTCAAACAATTAGAATAGACACTCATTCTCATACACATTTTCGGCTCTAATATGTTATTTGTCAAAACAGTCACACATACTAATTTGATCGTGTAATAGTGAGAGGAAACAAATTTTCGTTAATACGCAGTATATATCCATTTGTAGGTGAACGCCACGTGTGTACTGTTTATTCCTACTTAATGATTTTCTTATAATACGTCTTATATTGTGCACTCATTTAAAACAGAAACATTCTTATTTTACTTCGACATTCGGCATCTCTAAAGAGACAATGGTCGTATCGAATTTGTTTTTGTGACTCTTCATAAGAATGTATGGCTTTACTTTTTTGACTGGTCGTAACGTAAACTACATTGTACAAAATAATCATATTTGGAAAACACGAAATTAGAATTTCTTTTAAACGTTACAAATTTTTGTGTATATGCAGTCAATAATGTGTTCCTTTCACTTTCGAATTTCTTTGCAAACTGAGTTCTATTCTATATTTAATTTAAAGCGTCAATTTTATTCACTGTATTAGATACCGCACATGATTATTGATGCAATTAATATTAGCGTTTACGTTTTGTACATAGTTTGTTAGACATACTCTACAATTTAAATAACGCAGTTCGAAGATGATAATTATGTGTGATTTTCCCCTTCCTGTCATTCCCCATTTCTCATCATTCTCATTATATAAAATATACATCCACAATTTCATGTACTATCTATATATGTAAGAACAATGAAAAAAAATAGAGTAGAAGAAATAGTGGTGATATTGCGGTGGAAGGAATCTAATTGAAAAAAGGTTATTCGGTTTTAATATTGTGTTAGTGTGAACTGATTTTCTTTCATCATTTCTTTGTAACGTGCTGCCGTAGAGAGCACGATGGATTTGCCATCGTTGCTCGGATAGCCGCTACAAATTCGTCGATATGAATAATAACATTTTTCTAATTTTCAATTTCTCTTATTGAACATATTTTTAATGGATTAAGAAGATTTTCCTAATAAGAAATCTGAATCAGATTAGTTCAGATCATATAATCATGCATTCTGTAGCCACAATCATTTGCTTTTAATTTTTTATTCTTTATAGAATTTTAAGAAAAATTGTAAATCAGTAATGGACTCACACGCTATGTGATTTACATATACTTGATTAATTTATTTGTAAATTTGGAATTATTATTTATAAGTTTGATATTTTTTATCTTTACCGTTCGTTATAATACGATAATTTGATACAGTATGAGGATATTATTTATCTTTTACATTAGCTCTACAATTTTTTGCTTATAGAATAGAACTTATATAATGAATGTTTTTGACCTATCCGAAACATAGTTTTATTGAAAATATATTTGACGTACAAGTATACGTAATATTTACGAGAATATTACGCGATTTTGATGGCGTTCTTTTATATAAAAATTTGTCTAAAATATAAAAGGTCAGAAGTCTCTCAACAAAAAGTGAGATTAAACAAGTGAACACTGAAATACGTAATAAAAATCTGAATTTTTAAGATAGTAAAAGAATTACGAGCGTATCGTAAACTTGGTTTAAACTTATTCATTTGTGACACATTATTTATATATTTTAAACAAGTAATTATTTATAATACATTTAAATATTACATATAGTATTCCATAAAAAGCTTCAGAAAAATTGATATGCAAAAAAATAATAATGAAGTTAGCTTGTCATATAAGAAGTTGTTGTACTTTTAATTCTATGCTTCATTAAAGATTTCTACAATCCATTAAAGATAAATGTTCTCATTAAGAAAATTTGGAAATCATAAAAACGTTATTTTTCACGCATGTAAATATTATGTAGGTTATTTTACAGCTGTTGAAGTAAGTAAGATCCAACAAAAGTAATTCAGTGTACGATGAATGATTTAATTTCGTTTGATGCAACTGTAAACATAATAATCATAACGCGCATAGAATTGTATGATGCATTGTACAACGTATATGTATTTGATTATTATTATAGTTTTTTTTAAGTCCTGCCGATTTATAAATTTCACTTCGGCGATTAGAACAATCTTATTGTTCGATTTTAACCGTGAACTAATTGTGTTAATTTCTCGTCTTGGACAAATAATTTACATTTAGTATGAACTGATAGATCTTTATCTCCATAAACTAAATGATGTATTGTATACATAAAAGTAACGATATACTGATATATGGGTAGTACATACGAAGGGATCATAAATAAAGTTAGAACTCAACAACAAAATTATGATCATAAAAAACTACATAATACTTCAACCAATAATATTTGCCTCCATATTTGATCTTTTTTTACATTATTTTTCACATTCTTGAAATGTCGAAGATAATTCTGTAAGCATACTTTTAAAACACACCTACATGAGTAACTTCTATTTATGGTTTCATTGATTTAATATCTTGCTCTATCGTTACTTCCAAGAATACAAGTATGATTTTTCGTACAATAAATAATAATTATCTGTAATCCCTTTTATATTTACCCGATAAGTGATGTTATCTTATTATACACAGTAATTGTAGCAATTGAGACCAGTTATAGCTTTATTCTACTTGAAGTTAAAAAAATCGAAATGGAAAATGTTGTATTATTTAATCAAATTTATCATACTATTACATGATTTCTTCATAAATAGATCATTTTTTTTAAGTGAAACTGTATAATTCTCTTGTGTTAAATGATTTCTCAAATAATTTTCTAAGTAAATAACTCTGTGCATCACGAAATGTTTTATTTTACGATTATGTATAAAAACCACATTCATTTTATATCTTTTATTCGTAACATGATTCTAGTAATAAGTAATTGATCCACAATAAGATAATAAATGTTCATTGCCACTGTTAAAGTTTATTCTACGATACTCTTAACTGCAATTGAGACAAAGTTATAGCTTAATCCACTTTCTGGAATTACACTGTATAATACTTGTCATCGTATTCCTTATAGCAAAAATGCGAATATTTCAACGTAAGTTTTATAATCCCTTGAAGTTTACTGTATCGAGTATTATTACAACTATAAGATAGAAGGTTTACTCTGTATTTGTTTGACAAAAATTGATTTGATAAATATGTATAAACAAAGTGGAATTAATTTTTTATCCAATTGCTAGTCGAAGTGTAAGTTAACGTAGCGCGATAATATGTGAAAATATATCGTACACTTCTACATACTACAAAATGCATTTATGTATTTAAAATTTTTCCATCATCTTTGTTCAAATGAATATTTTGAAATAAATAATTACATAATACAAATGTATAAATAATTTTATTTTCAAAAATATAATTATAAACATCATTTTCAACTCTGTATAGCTCTCTTACAAAGACGAGCTAACAGACTATTCATCTGTAATAAACTGTTAATTCCATCTACTATTCCCAGATGTGTTATTCCAATTTCCTGAAATCAAAAAATATATAAACTAGCGATTTCATTTATGTTAGAAAAAGATACTTTGTAGTTGTTGAGTGCCATTCAAACCCATTGTAATGTTCTATTTCTACACCAAAGAGTAACGATTGTACCATGAAAAAAGTAACACAATCATCCTGCTTAGATTTGTTAAAATGAAATAGTAAAAGCATGATTACGTAATATAGCATTTTTCAAATCTATTCCTACAATTACCCGTGACACTCACAACATTAAATCAGTACCATCTACCAACAGTAAAGTCGTCTGGCCGACGACCCAACAGCTAATAGTGCACAGAAACAAGGACACTCAACCACACGCTCCACCCCGGTCCTTCCAAGGAACGTAGTAGTCGGGCATCTGTGTCCTCAGAATTTCATAAACAGAAGATTCGCCGAAACGAAATTCGACGTCAATGTTCGTTACATATCACTTCATTACATTCTATTCTGTCTGCTTTCTTCGTCACGCGGCTCAGTCAAAAACATAAACTGTCGTTCTATAGCTGTTGACGCGACATTTCGAGTGGAAGAGACTCCGTGTCCCTGTGACTTACTATTGAGTTTGTGGGTAACCGATCAACTTACGATCGGTGGACAGTACTTAACTATATTTGTTATAATATTGAAAAACAAAAGAATAATTTAATTTACCTTTACAAAATCTAATTTTAATGTTTCTTCAATTGAAAGGTTTTTACAAACTCTGAATATATTACTAATTAAATCTTCTGCAGAATAGCCCATTTTCCATAAATGCTCCATTACCTGATAATATATTTAATTTCATTACGTATGCTGTAAATGATAAGCAATACAATATTAACAAAATTTCTTACTGAATATGCTTTTGAAATGTTCCCATCTGTACAAAACTCTAGCATTTCTTTAACAAGTAAAGGATGAGGTTCATCACAAACTTTAAAGACATTTTCACTATTTACATGTCCAAAACCATTGTATGTTGATTGTAAATTATTCAAGGCCTGTCTCATGTCACCTTGAGCGGTGAATACTATTGCTGAAAGGCCATCATCTGTATGTGAAATCTGCTCATATATAATGAAAAATATTATTTAATTTCTCAGTAATATTATTCTATACTTTTTAAAAGAATATTAATATAATTTCTTACATTTTCTTTTGCACAAACTTCAAGAACTTTTGACAATATTTGTGCATCCGATAACTTTCCATACCTCAACATGGCACAACGTGATTGTATAGGTTCAATAATTTTCTCACTATTATTACAAGCCAACGCAAATCTCGTTGTATTACTATATATTTCCATTGTTCTTCTCAATGCTTGTTGCGCACCATCAGTCATACTATCAGCTTCATCTAATATTATTATCTTATGTTTACCTTTTGGAAGGTTTACCTAGTTGCAAACAGATATGAAATAATTAGTAGAAAATTATACACATATAATAAGAATATAGCGTAAAACAAATTACATATAGGAACCTTCTTCTGAGCAAACATTTTGATCTTATTCCTGACAACATCTATTCCTCTTTCGTTTGAAGCATTCAGTTCTAGTACTGCTTCTTTAAAGACTGGCCCTAATAAAATACGTGCTAAACATAAAATCGTTGTAGTTTTACCAACTCCCGGTGGTCCAGATATAATAATATTTGGACAATTTCCATGTTGTGCAAAAACAGAGAGTCTAGACACTGTATCTGTATTCCCAACGATGTCCGAAAAAACATGTGGTCGATATTTCTCAATCCTGAAGGAAATTTTTAATTTTATATTATTATTTTATTCCTCATACAATACATAATTAGTGAATTCTGAATACTTAACCTCAATAATCTGAACCTTAATAATATAAAAATAATGTCATTATTTATAACAACATACCATGGTAAGTGTGTAGATTTATCAGTTTTATCTTTAGTTTTTGGATTAGTATTGCTTGTCGATGGTATAATATCTATGTCCATTGCTTCTTCGCCGGTACTAGTACCTGCCATCTTCAAAATTTAAGCTCGAAACGCGGGAAATATAATGCTGCTTTCCAACCATAGATTGTACAAATATGTAGAAGTTCAACCTTTTATAATTTCTGTCTTAATGCTAATAGAAAGTTATATTATCGACCGGTGGAATGATTAATCGGTAACTTAAAAATGTTATGAACAAATTAAAATTTTGTAAAAACAAAACTTCAATTACTAGAATAAACTGATGTATATATAATGAAACATGCTAAAATTTTAAAATTAACAAATATATTATATGAAAAATAATGAAAAATATTCTCTATTATTAATAACGTAGAAAGTAAAGTTAACAAATGTGCTTATATATAATTTATATTTCGATACAGTTGACTTTCCAATTCAGTGATTACATAAGTTGTAATTGAAATTAATGTATTTATAAAAAATAAAAATTGAATCACGGAACCTTGATAATTCAGATACCTGTAAAATCAATATTAATATTTAATATATGGAATTATTTATACCACATCATATAAAATTAAACTCACATATTTAACAGTAGTACATAATATTTAACATTTACGCTTAATGAAAATTGTAGTTAAAATTATATGTTTAATGTCGATTTTATCATCTGCAATTTCATGTGTACGAACTATCGTATTGTCTCTGAAGAGGTCACTCGTATCGTATGAATTTTTCGTAAAATCAGGTAAGATTGTCTTCCTTTTATAAGTATCTTGTCGGTGGTTTGCGGAATGAGAATCCAATATGGCAGCCATCGTGATATCTGCAGAAGTCAGTGTCGTGGAAATGTTTTGAACTCGTTGAGTAATCGTGACAACCGGTCGACATACTACGCATAGGTTAGTAGGATGAAACTACGTTTCATTTGTGCTTTCGTTTTTCCATTTTAATCGATCGATTTGTGTCAGGAAATCGGATTTTGGTAAAAATCATTTTTCTCATACAATTGAACCACTAGATTCATTCGGCCGCAGTAACGTTCCAATACAGGCATAGGTTACCTCATTTTTTAACCCTTAAATTAAATATTAGCTTCGTTAAACGAAAATTCGGTGCTCATCCTGTTCAATTTAAAATGATAAGTTTAACGCTACATCCGTTTTACAATCGTATGGGTGATGCGTGTACGTTTTTCGCAACGAGGGTGTGTGCATGTGCGTGTCAGGTGAGTGGATGCTGTCGATGTATGAATGCACGTATTCGTCAAATGTTTCCAAATTGTTGCGTACCTTTTTTCGCCGAAACGAACGTTGATTGCGAGTGTCGCGCGTGTTTGGACCTCAAGAAAGAAGACTCGTTAAGTGCGTCTTTGACACATCTCGCCATGCTGCACGAACAGCATGGTGCCACGATCTACCACCTATCGAACAATTCTCTTCGGAACAACAATCGGTAAGTTTACATATTATTTTCCTGCTAATGTTTCGTCTCACAATTCTTTTGTCGATGTTCGAATAACAGAATACAAATACCGTTTATCAGCGACAATTTTATTGTTTGAGCCTATTCAATAAAATTGAAAAAACATGAGATAACTGAAACATTTCGCAGAGTATTTTATCTTTTCCATAAAACAATCATTGTTATTTAATTATTATTCTGATAGTTGCACTCGTTAATTACGTAAATCGCACGGGTATACGGAAATGTCCTATTCATTTCAGTATACCGATAATCATTTCCGGTTGTTCGTGGAAGATATTTCAGTACTGATAGGACGTGATTCTTTCATATACATTCAGCTCATACCCTCGGAAACGCTTTTATATTATTTTTATATTACTATATTATTATATTTATGCAACAGAAATATTATTCAAGAAGAATTATTTACTTTTATTTCTATAATGGCAGTATATAAGGATATGTGGTTCTCAGGAATTTGCTGTAATTCATTACGTATGCCGATTTATTTTTGTTCACGTATACGTAAGCAAACTTATTAATAATAATTAATTTCCAATAGGAAATCAAATATTTCTATTACGTAAAAGGATCAGATTTTAATGTTTACTTTTATTCGCCACGTAAATAATTCTATTTGAGGCTTGCGTAATTGCAATGATGGTTCGAGTTAATACGCTGCTGAAAAATCGAATAATTCGAGAGAAAACAATGCCGCATTCTTTTGACCGCGTTATGCATACGCATCTGTCTTATCGCACACGAGGTAGCTTTGTTTAATCCTCCCCCGTCGGTGGCTGATTTAACTATATTACTCGACATGCGATACTTACTGGAACGTTTATGTTAGAGCGATAAAACGATGAGATTTGATAGTGCTGATCTGCACGGTGCAAGAAAAAGCGGCTATACACTCGCCGACAAAAGTTACGAAACGAAACGATTTTAACACTAGAACTACCGAGCATTTAATCCGATTGACATGTAATCCATATAAAAATTGTAACAATAGATTACTTTCAGTTTCTTCGGACATTCATTATAGTATTCAATTGAAACTATTTATTTTCAAGATTATTTCGAATATTTTTTGAATATTCGTTTTTAAGGTATCAATAATTATGAAACAAAAGAACCGAAACGAGTCATTTTGACTGGGATGATAGTAGTGTTAACATCGTTTATCCAATTCACCCTTTTGTATAATTATTTAATGGAAGATAATTTTCCATATGGCTTTAGGTTTTCATGAACGTTTTGTTTTTTCAATATCATATAATTTCCTGTATAACTTTCATAAGTTTTCATTTATATGAAAATGCATTGTACCGATCCTGCTTAATTAGCTTGTTTCTATTGCTGGAGTACACAATGTATACTATACATATCAAATCTGAAAAAATTTGATTTGAAAATAAAATGAAAAGTAAGCTGTTCGGAATAACTTTTTGGTTCTTTATTTTCAATAAAATCGTTTGAGAATATAAAGTATATTAATTTGAAATAACGAATGGCGTTTTTTATTTCGAAACTTACGAAAGAAATAATTGGCAAAATGATAAAACAGTAAAATTTTAGTTGAAGGTCTATGATAGCATTAATAAAAAGTGAATGAAGGAAAGCGTTATCTTCTTAAACGATTGAGGGTTGAACGTAAACGCGTGAAGCGTAAAACTTTACTGCTAATAATAAAATATAAAAGGTATAGAAATAATCACGATACAATTGAGATAGACAAGGTTGAACAGTTTTATTATTTTAAATACAAGATTGTATTTTTAAAGTTATTCTTTGAAATATAATAAGAAAATTAAAATAACGTATCAAATGTTGTTATTTCGAATGTGCTTGGCATATAGTGGCTGTCTCGCCGAAATGGGGAACAGAAAAGAAAAGTGAGAAATCGTAACAGATCGCTGCCCGTTGGCGTTAAACGAGAGGCTTTGGTATTGACAGGTTTCAAATAGTTCTGTAAGTTCATATCCTTATCGATTAGTTTAGGGAAATCGGAATTACATAAAGTTATTTTTTCTATAGAAATTTGCAATGTCTAACGTTTCCATACTGTTATGGTATACACGATCATATATACCATTGAAGTGTAAAATTTAGAACGTATTTATTATAGTGTGCATACCATTCAGATAGAACATGGGAGTATGTATAAAAACAGGTACCCAATGTTCGTATTTAAGAATTTTTAATAAGAATAAATAATGTTTAGTATTTATATTCTTCATTATCTTTTTTTCAATTTTTTATTTTATACAGTTTTATCTTATGTAGATAACAGTAAATTGTATGAACGTTAATATTTAGTAAATATTTTATTGAGTATGCGTATTTTGAAATAAGTTGTTATTAACACTACTAATAATTATTTTTATATTATATTACTAATGATCATTGTTAATTTGTGACAATTTTTAATACATTTCATGTATGTTATCTCGGAGTTTACTGTACTAACGTGAAAGAGATAATTGTCATAGATATGAGTGTCAACGTCTTTACACGTTCAACAATCATTTTCATTGACAATTATAACAATCAAGCTGAAATTAATGAATCTTATTACTATTTGTGGTTTAATGCTTCGTATTTCGCAGTATAACCTCAGCGACTATCCGTAAATAAGCATTACTCATGTGTACATGTATTTATTATATACATATTGCTAAATATGTCCTACTATTTGTATTCAGCTTCAAGGTGAAAACAATTTTTGATGAATGTAAAGTGCACGCACGCCTACAATTTGGAATCAACATCAGACCTGACTCTCTTTTATTTCAACCTTTTTCATTTTCATTTTGTTAAGTTTTGTTGTCAAATACAAACGGTTTCATTAATCACTATTTAATATTACAAATTGCGTGAAATGAAATTGCTAAATTATTAGATGAAAATCAGTTGATGAGACTAATGAAAATCATACTTAACGTTACATCATTCGAAGAACTTTTAATTGCACTTGCAATAATGTGTACGTGTTTTATTGTCTTGTTTATTTTCGTTTTTGTCAAAAATATATTATGCATTAGCAATTTCTTGGAACAAACACTAAAATTTTTACGCTGTATTAATGGTAGTTTGTTAATATTATACGCATCATTATTTCGATATTCTAACTATAAAGTGTTTAAGTTGCATATTTTAGTAATGGAAAAAAAATAAAGAAAAATAAGAAATATCTTGCCCATATAGTTAATTATACGTTAATTTACTATTTTTCAGGGTATATCTATTTTTGTGCGAAATAACGATAGTTTACAAAACGATTAATTTTTATTTAGATGCTTGTATTTTTATATAATAATATCAGTAAATCAACTCTTTCTAGCAACAAACAGCTACGTTTTGAATTAACGATATTTTTGTCTGTACAATGTGTTCAGGACTGGTAGATGTTGCAGGAATACTTAAACCTACTTTTAATCAGTTTTGCCAATCTGGATTATTCGTTCCCATGCATTTTCTATCGTCCTAACGGACACAGATTGTGATTTATTCGGTTCTCTAGTGAATACATTTGAAACTCTGAATTACTATTACCACTTGAATTTATGGCTCAATGTGTGAAATCAGGTATGCTGAGAATACGATGGACATTTTCTGCTGTTCCAATTATATAGTAAAATGTTTTCCACCATGTGGAAATTAATGGGAATTGTGGTTATGTTCTGCGCTTCATCATTCGCAAACGGCAATATCTAACTTAGATTACGAAGAGAAGTAGCACGATGGACAGTTTCGAAATGTGACTTTAACGAGGGACCGATTTTAAGTGTATCACTTCGATTTTAATGAGCTTTTGTTAGATGATAATATACAAATTCCTAATTTTTATAAAAATTGTGTTTACGTATAAAACTAATATCAAATTAAAATCAAAATTAATCTTGAAATTAAAAATAAATCTTACATGTCTAATATATAATATTATAAATGTGTCATATACTTCTATAATTAGGATATAAAACAATATAAAGTTATTAATGTATATTTTCCTCGAAGCTATTTTCGTATTTGATATTTTTTAGATATAAACATTTAAAGTTATGTACTACCGAGATGTATTATGCGAATAAATTCAAACAACTATTCTTGTGTTGGGAAGGTGATATGGTTTTATGGGTCATAAAGCAAAGGTTCAAGGTTACTATTTCCGTTTGCTCCAAATATTATTCAATTCTGTTTTACAATGTTATTTTGGTCGTAAGTGTATGTTGCTTTTATTGATGGCAATTATCAAGTAACAGTAAAAATACAAATAATAAGCAAATTACAATAATTCATAAATAAATAAATAAATAAAGAAACATTAGTAATGTTTCAAGAAATACTCGTAATATAGTGCTA